TATATATATATATATTGATAAAGAATTCATTTTAAATTAATCACAAATATGGTTTATTATTTATTCGTTGATTTACTAAATATAAAAACAGTAGAATAATACAATGCCACGTGAAATGTTTTAAAGATGGTACCCTAATGTGCATCAAATAATAGTATTCCATTTACAAACAACGTTCAAGATTCATTATATGAATCCACTTTTTGCAGGGCACTTCTTAATTTGCAAAAGAATTGTGGAACTTATGTTTATCTATTAATAGTTGATGAGATGTTTCCCTTTTTTCTTCATTGAATAAAACTCGAGAGCTTTCCCAACCATATATTTAGTAAAAGTGAAGATACATGATATCCATTAAAGTTGATCTAGTTGTGCAGATTAAAGCAGTTTATATGATATTTTAGATTTTATTGAAATAGATTTATAGAAAAGTAAAAAATAGATGATTTATTGAAATAGATTAAATTATATTTCTCTTAACAAGGCTATGAAAGTATAGATTTTTTTGAATGAAAAAGAGGTTAGTTAAACTAGAATATTATAGAAAGAAAGAAATTGTTTTGGGATGAAATTAAAAGAAAAAGGGGGGATGACACATGAAATGAAATCCTGAGTGGATGCAAAAAAAGATTTAGAAGTACAATGGATAAGTGATGGGAACACGACAATGGAGTATTATATGCAACGCCACTGAATGGATGGTGAGGAGAAGAGGACCTCAGACGAAGGGTGTGGAGAAGACCACTTGCCAGAGAGATTCAGGCAACTGTTAATGGACCCAAACACCTCCTGCCAAAAAGCTTCCACCCTTCCCACATAGTTTTCCCATTACCCACACCATTATAATACTAAAGCATACCAAACATTATTTACTAAATAATTAATTAAATTTCCTATTCTAATCAAATTATTTTATCTAATCTAAATTTCTTTCTACAAAAAACGTTAATAAAGTTTTGATTATCTGATTGCATATATACAAAATTATTTATAAAAAAAAAAAAAAACAAAGTCGCTTTAATTATTTCTATAAATAAAAAATAGTTAGTCTTTAATTATCGATCAAAAATACTTTTTGAGTAAAAAAAATGGTTCAGTTTATTCATAAGAGTAATAAGCAAAAATAATTATTTTAATAGGGTAATGCGGTTATATTCATTCAACAATAAAATCATGTACCCATCCACCATGGACAGACCAATGTTAGAAAGGACATTACTGTATACGAAGGAAAAATACTGTTGGTTATTTTATTGAAGGAAAGGTTGAGAGAGTGGAACGGAGAAAATTGAGTGTGGAACATGTTTATTCATTATATCTCATATTTTCTTATTCTGTAAGGGGTTATCGAAAAATTTATCCTGGCTTTGAGACTAATCTTATTTCTTGGCCTCTCTTATCCAATATTTGTTGAAAATTCTGAAAGGTGTGTGCCATCATGTACAGGTTGTTATTCTACTGAAGAAGATAGTTTACAAAGTAAAAATGTTCAGAAGCCAACACAGAAGTACATAAAGATAGTCACAGTGGATAATTTTGTTTTCTGGTTCATGGGTGTCTTACAATATCAGAAAACTATCAAATATCTTGAGCTTAGTTGGGTACCCATCCACCATGGACAGACCAATGTTAGAAAGGACATTACTGTATACGAAGGAAAAATACTGTTGGTTATTTTATTGAAGGAAAGGTTGAGAGAGTGGAACGGAGAAAATTGAGTGTGGAACAGATATAACCTTTTTCAAGCAATTGAGGAACACTCAACAGGTTTTGGTTAATTTCTGGAACATATAAGACATCTGAAATTAGTTTCAAACCTGTTTGACCTTCAATTGCCACTGTTCCTTTGCCTTTTACTGCAATATATGCTCCATTACCCACTCTGACTTTAGAAAGTGCAGTTTTGTCAAGTTCTTTAAAGAGCTCTCGATCATAACTCATATGATTTGTGCAACCACTGTCTATGAGCCAACTTTCGGTGGAGCTATTGGCAGCAAAGCATGTAACAGCAAACAATTGTTCCTCTTGTGATTGATCCTCAGCAACCTTAACTTCTCCTTGTTGTTGATGAGATTTGCAAATCTTTTCCATGTGTCCCAGCTGCCCACACTTATGACACTTTACATCTGGTCTCCACCAACACCTTTTTTGTGGATGATTGGTTTTCTTACAATGAGGACAAGGTGGAAAAACCTGAGTATTACTACTCGTGTTGTTGATCTTGTTTAATCTTCCAGGTCTGGTATCATTGTTCTGCTTCTTCTTCTGTTTGTTGCCATTGCTCTGGAATTTGACTTGAAAAGCACCCTCCACAGATCCTTCTTGCCTCATAAGTCTTCTTTGCTCTTGGGCCTGTAAGGCATGCATCACCTCTGCCAAAGTGATCTTAGATAGATCCTTTGTGTTCTCCAAGGTAGCTATAGAAGCTTCATATCTCTCTGGTACTGATACAAGAATTTTTTCAACAATTCTTGAATCAGAAAAAGCTGTGCCCAGCAATCGTACTTTGTTGGCAATGCCAAGCAACGTATTTGAGTACTCTTTTATGGTGTCTGATTCTTTCATTCGCTGCAGCTCAAATTCTCTCATTAAATTCAATACTTGCATGCTTCTAATCCTCTCATCTCCTGCATATTCTTCCTTCAAGTAATCCCAAATTGCTTTTGCTGTGTTGTGAGACATGATCCTGGTGAAAATTATTTTTGAAACACCAGAAAATAAACATGCCTTTGCCTTTGCTTTCCTGGTTTTTTTTTCCTTGTGGGTTTTCATCTGGGTTATAGTGGGGTTGTCGGGCAGCGGAGCAATTTCGTAATCCTCCTCCACTGCTTCCCAAAGATCCAAAGCCTCTAGGAAGTTCTGCATTTTTATGGCCCAGAGGTCATAGTTATCTCCATCAAAGATAGGAGGAGCAACTTGAGAAAAACTTGTTTCGGCATCCATTTCAGGTCCCATAAGATGTAGCTCTGATACCAATTTGTTGGTTATTTTATTGAAGGAAAGGTTGAGAGAGAGTCCTTTAAAATCCTAATCCAATACACCCCCCTTAAATTTGCTAACCTCAATGATAATCATCATAAAAATCACATAAAAACGTTTTTATAATTTATTTACCTAATGAAAACTTTTATATATACTATATGTAGGTATTCATCAAACGCTTATAATGTAGATTAAATATTTTGATTGTATCAAAATTATTAATATATTTGATCAGTATTTTAAATATAGAGTTGTAACTAAAAGTATCACTTTATTTTAATAAAAGTTGGCTTGATAGGTAGGAAGAGTTGCATTTCTTTATCAAATTTAAAGATGGCAAGTAAATTCGCATCCACAGATAATATCTGAACCCACTTTGACTTTAACAAAAAATATTCAATTTGATCAAATATGAGTATGAATAATATCCAAATTATTAAACGAGGATAAGTGTATACTTACCTATCCCCACTTTAAATTTCTAAAAAATAAAATAAAAAATTATTTGATATTTATATAATTATTACTTTTTAAAAATTTATGTCAAATAAATTTTAGGTAATGTAATTTTGTAATTTATATTATATGTTTGAGTTCTTATCTTTTATATTTTTTACAAAAATAAAGTAATTAATTTTTGAGTGAGTACCAAATAGA